TTATAAATATAATTACTCATATGTAACAAAAAATATAAAAATAAATGCATAAAACTCATTGAGATTTTTTACCACGTATTAAAAAATTTTAATATATCATGATATCTTAATACCATCTTAATCTATCTATCTCACTCACTTATATTTTATTTTATTTATGTTATTATTACATTATCATATAGTTTTTACTATTAAAAATTTCCTTACTTTATTAAAAATTTCTTCAGCTTTCACCTGACCTGCAAATGACGCAGAATCTAACTAAATTATTTCAATCATCAAATGGCTTATGCTACTTTCGTTCTTCTCCAAACGTTGCAGTTTTACAGGCAAAATGAGTAATGTCCTTTTCCCTTTTAATATAATTAAGTTTAAATTTTTAGTCCAAATTTTAAGCAGATAATACCAATAAAAATGAACAAAGGGGAAACGAGATTAGATTTAGATAGGCACCCAAGGTTGTAAACAGTTTTCGAAAGGAAAATAAAGAGGGCAAAAGAAACCAACGAGAGGTTGGATCAAGTAGTAAGCGGCTTATTTCAGCTTAAATAAGGTCTCGAGTTTGAGATTTTGTGTATGTAGCAGCTTCCGTTGAGAGATTCACTTAACATTTTTAAGTGCGCAGCGCGAATCGATCCGAATTAATCGAGATAAAGTCTCGGATACCGAACGAAAAACTAAAAAAAAAAAAAAAAAAGGCAAAAGAAGGGAATGAGGCATCGAAAAGGAAAACGTTTGTTGTATTCAAGGACACATTTCACATGGCGCTGAGCTCTGGAGTCTCACCGGTTAGTCTACAGCGTGTCTGATGCTGGTAAATAATTGTACATTAACACAGTGACGTACTGACATTTTCTCTCCTATGGGCTAATAATTGCTTTTTCTGAATTGTTATCCGGACTTTTGCATAAAGTTGTTCCCTGCTTAGCTTCGCTGGAAGGTAGGCAATTCCACTAACATTTTGAAAACGTGGCTATGCTATTGGTAAATGGCAAGATATAAAGCAATCCGAGGCAGAGAAAAATATCTGAGGAAAGAAACAATGAAAGTAAAAAAATCACGACATATTATAATGACAATTGGGGCCAAGATGTATGTGTTTGCTTTTGTCAATGGTGAAAATTCCAATTCATGGGAAAGACTTGAGGGCACTCATGTTTCCCATTCTTTTGAGTTGTAGTCCAAGGTAAAAGGCAAGTTTTTTTTTTGCACCTGCTCGCAATACATTCAGGATACAAACAAAGGCAGCATTGCAGGTGACATATTGAAATGATATTCTTGTTGGAAATTTTTATGTAGGCTGCTGTTAATTTTATTTAATTCTTCAAATTAACTCAAATGAAAAAATTGGTAAAATCTAATAAAATGATATGGTCTAAGTGGATTTAAGTTTTATTTTAATTTTATATGATATAATATAAATAGGTGTAGGATTTGAAATTAAATGTAGATTATTTGATAAAAAAGTCAAAAAAATTATTATAATGGGTTAAGTCCTTCCCTCATTTAGAAAATTCTACCTCTATAAATAAAAAAATTGGGGAGTGACATGACTCATTAGTTGTTACTATACAAAAGTTGAATAAGAAAACCTAAATTTCAATATTAACTATATTTGTTTTTGTCGATTTTGTTTTGAAATTTCTAATTATGATAATTCTTGAAGATCTTTAAAGATTTTAGGTAATATATTGATTATGAAGATTTAGGCACATAATTTATTTATTTATTGATTTTGTGTATTATATATATCACTAATTTGAATGATTCGGTGTTTTAGAATCTAATTTATGAGATTAATTATTTAAGTAAATTCTAAGATATGGTATTAGAATCACACAAATTAGATCTAAGACCCATGAAATCAATTAAATATTTGATTTGGTCTAATTAATTTTCCACTGCCTCCAATCAGTAACATATGATGGATTGTTTGCTTTGTAATTCCGCTGAAGTTATTTTGTTGCCATCGTTTTGTTTTTCTGTAATATCCCAAAATTTTGGGAATATTTTAGCATTAAATTAGGGACTTATTTGAGGGAAAATATTGTTTTGGGGGTTAATCATAAAATTTTAAAAAGTTGAGGGGCTAAAAAGAAAAGAAATTAGGATAAGGATCAAGGCTGATATTTCTCTCCTCAGCCACGTGTTTTGCTCATCCTCATCTTCTTCTTCTCCCCGATGCTCTGCCCCCCGACCCTCTGCACCCGAGAAGCCCCCCAACTACCGCCACCCATTTCCAGCCGGAAATCCGGCAAAGCTTGGGGATTTCTCCCTATTTTCTTGTCTTAGAACACCTGTTGAACCTAGAAAATCCCAGATCTGCGTCTTCCTCCCTCTGCTGTCCGTCGGCTTCAACTTGTGGGTTTGAAATTTCTGGGCATTTTTCGGTAAGAACAGCCTTGAATCTCCCTTTTCTCTCTTGATTTAGGCTTGGGTTTACCTTGAATTGTGTTTTGGTTTTTGGATTGGGTAGCCGCGAGTTCCCCTGCAGAATTTCTTCTTCTCTGCCGTCGGCTTCTCCCCCCTGCTAGGCTCGGTTTTTGCTTGCTAAATTCTGGTAAGTAGCCATCTTTTCCAAGCTTAAAATGACCCATTTAATGGCTGGGTTTTGTCCATTAGTTGATGCTCTGTGTTGTCCGAGTCTGCTGGGATAGGGGATGAATTTGGCAGCCATTTTAAATGTGTTTTGTGCTTAGTTTATGTAGGAATTGTGTTAATTAGGCTACTGTGATTGATTAGAGAGAAAACCCCGTGAATTAGCTATGTTTTGTCAATTGTGGGAGTTGAGGTACTGTTCGCACGGTACTGTTCACGGGGTACTGTTTATAGGTACTGTTCACACACCGAGGGTTAATGATTAACGGGATTTAAAGGTTTAGTTTGTGATATAAGAATGAAATTGGAGATGTTCGGTTATGTGGAGATTGATAGAAATAGCACTGTGATTGGGGGTAGTGTTGATGATGATTTCAGTTTGAATTTATGGTAGTGCGATATTAATTCTTGGAATATTGTGATTAGGTTTTGATCGTTCTGTTACCGTAGCACTTGGGTTAGCCTTCTGTTCTGTGCGAGTGAGGTAAGTAAATTATGGTAAAGCCCTTCGATTTCAAAGCATGTTTTCAATTGTTTTTGAGATGGTGGCAAGGTTTAAATTGATTTTAAACTGATTTTATCAGCATCTGAATGTGATTAAACTGAAATGGAAATTGTGATGGTTTTTATGAGAATTTCCTTCTTTTTCTGAAATTGAGCATGATTGGAATGAAAATGAGGATTTTATTGATTTTCTGGAAATGAGCATGATTGAGAAATGAAAATGAGAATTTCATTGTTTTCTGGAATAGAGCATGCCTATTTGGGAATTGACGGAACTGTTTTGATGAATTGAGAGTTTGCAAATTCTGAGTTTTCTGTTAAATCCATGGTCACATGGAAATTTCCTGGTTTGTTTCTGAGATTTGAGATTGATTGTGAATTATGGATTTTTGGAAATCCTGCATGGTTTTGTCTCAGATATAGTCATGATTACTGACGCCCGCTAGTGGGAGCTGTAAACGCTAGCACATGTCGACATGTATTTCTGTAGAACCGGTTC